AGATGTGTATAAGAGACCTACTTGGGACACCCCCCGGGGCTATTCGGGACACCCCGGAAAGCACATTTACAGTAGAACCTCAGTTAGCAAAGGCTCCAGTTAAGAAAAAAATTGATTAAAAACAAAGAATATTGATTACATTTACCTCGCTGAGCGAAAAAAAAGTTCACTTATCGTCTCACAAATTACAAGCTGTCCTGTAAGCTTACAGATACAGAAAAAATGCTATGATGCTGCTGATATGAAGCTTGCAGTGGACAAGGTTGTTGTAAATGCTCAATGGCATGTTCATGGATACCTTAATATCACATCAATAATACAGTAATATCCCATCAATAATATGGTACCATCAACTGGGTGATTCAGCTGTGTTCATAATGATGGCCAAAGTGGGGTAATAAACGGTCATAAACAGTGGCCAAAGTCACTCAGGCGTTTATGACCTGGTTTACAACCCTGGCGTTTATGACCCCGGCGTTTATGACCCCGACCTTTACGACCCGGCGTTTACGACCCCAGCATGAATCAAAAACACAGCCAAAGTCACCCCAGTTGACGGTAATTAATGTTTATGGTAATATCATATCAATGAAGGAAAAACTAGTAAAAGTCACAGAAAATGTCATTTATTCTACCTCTACATTGTCTACAATGAAAGAGGAGGACTTCAGAGTACTGTTAGTAATGGATGAGTATGCTCTGCATGCTTCAAATATTTTAAAATGAAGTTTTATTCCCAGTGTCCGGAGTAGCCCTGTTCGACGGGGCTACTCGGGACACTCTTTTTTTGCTTCTAGCACCTTACGAATAGCATATGGAATTTTTTTGAAGATGCCATTCGATAGCCCTCGCAAAGAGCTATAAAATGAGCCTAAACTTGTTTATGAAATGTTTCATCGTAAGAAGTTATTAACAAAAAACGCTCAAAACCGTCCCGAGTAGCCCCGGTTGATGGTACGTTAAACGTTAAGCATAGTAATAGTGGGTTGGCTTTTATTCATTGTAGAGCACTGCTAAATGCTTCATGTATGTATATTCTTCCATTAGTGTCATTGTCTGAAAAATTTATCAAATTGGTAATATAACCAATGGATAATAAGTTAAATGTCAGATGTCATGTGTTTTCTTGCTAACTGCATTTGTGGTGCACTTCTTCAAACGTAGCTCATGCCTTCTTACAGAGTTGTGATCATAATTATTTTTCATGTTTCACACAATGATTTTCCCCCCAGCCAATCTTACACATAGTTCTGCAGTTCATTAATGGGAAGAGACATCCCTATTTTCTTTATCCCTTTGATGCAATTTAAAATAGTGCACTAAATTTCTCTAATTACAAAAGCTAACAAGTTATAATGAAGTTTGAGCCATAGATAAAATTTTTGACCAAAATACTCCATGTACTGCACAATAATATATTCAATTATAAACTATTTTTGATAAACTGTAGGGTAAGAGAGAACCATTTGTGGGGGAACACAGGACAATTTGTAGGGTAAGATAGGACCACTTGTGGGATGAAGCAGGATCATTTAGTGGTCCTGTCTTATCCCATGTCCAGTCATTTTTTTACCCCATTTTGGAATACATGTCAGGCAGTGATGGTACCGTCAACCGGGGCTACTCGGGACAGGCGGGGCTACTCGGGACAGCCCTATGACATGGGGTAAAGCTGTTGTAGTAGCAAAACTAATTGGAAATCGCAAAACTAAAAATAGTGGCGTAAACGTAACTATTTTTCCTATCTATCTAGTATGAAGGAAGTCAAAAAATACTACATTTACTTGCTTTGAAAAATTCCTGAAAAAAATGGTGAAAAACTATGTTTTGTAAAGTAACAACTGCTAAGGTATGTAGAAAAAAAAATATTCGCCGTATTAAAAAATTTTACTTACATAAAAGTTGCACCCAGGTGTCGGCTTGAAAACGTAATTGACAGAATTTGCCTATCTAATTCCAAAAATAAATGGCAGCCATTTCCGCACGGCGGGGCTACTCGGGACACCCCCCCCGGGGCTATTCGGGACACCCCCAAAAACGCATTAAGGGTAGAACCTCAGTTAGCAAAGGCTTCAATTACGAAAAAAATTGATTAAAAACTTTTTGTCAAATTAAATTCAGTGCAATTAGAATACATGCCATGGGCTGGTCCTTTCTTACCCCATGAAGGCTGCGATCCTGTCTTACCCCATTTGACTATGTGTGTTCTGCCATAAAAGAAAGTAAAACTTATTAATTTTATGCATCATATCCCTATGACTATAAGATAAAGAATTGTATTAAATATGAACAAGCATTAACATAGCAAGCAGAAAAATAGTAATAATCGAGAACCTGTATGATGATATCAAACTTGTATTGCAGCAAACAGCTTAATGAAGAATTAATGAACACCAAAATATATAGCTTGCAGAATTAAAACACACTGAACACAATTAATAGAAAATAAGAAACAAAGCAAAATCACAAAGTATAAACAATTTGTAATATAACATCAATTAAGTAATAAAATGAATATATGCAATAATTAATCACTCACTTTCTCTCAAGTGGTGAGTTAGCTTAACTTCCATACCTACTTGTGCAGTTATTAGTTATTCATTGAGATTTTGCATTAGGATTATGCTTGGCTTAGAATTTACTTTAATTAATGATTTATTCCTTGTCTGGGCTAGGGAGAGAAAAGAAAGTACCATCAACCGGGGCTACTCAGGACGAGTGGGGTAACTCGGGACAGTCCTCTGACATGGCGTAAAACTGTTTTAGTAGCAAAACTAATTGGAATATTGCGAAACTAAATATAGTGGCGTAAACATCAACATTTTTCCTATCTTTGTAGTATAAAGGAAGTTGAAAAATACTACATTTACCAGCTCTGAAAAATTCCTGAAAAAAATGGTGAAAATGATATTTTGAAAAGTTGATTCTGCTAAGGTCTGTAGTAAAAAAAATATTTGCCGTATTAAAAAATTTTGCTTAGAAAAAAGTGGCAGACAAATGTCAGCATGTAAACTTTATTTGCGGAATTTACATACCGCAATCCCAAAAAAGTGGCGGCCATTTCTGCACGGCGGGGCTACTCGGGACACCCCCAAAAATGCATTTACAGTAGAACCTCAGTTAGCAAAGGCTCCAGTTAAGAAAAAAATTGATTAAAAACAAAGGATATTGATTACATTTACCTTACTCAGCAAAAAAAATTCCACTCATTGAAAAATTAGTGTATCATCGGTCATCACAAAATTGTGCATAGAATGTCATATCTAGAATTGTGCACCAGGCATCATAGAATGAAAAGTAATTGACCTAAACTATGATTTATTTCTCCAAAACATATGATGGTTGTCATTAAAACATTCCTTTTTGTTTCAGGTATGTTTTTCAAGATCTTTTTTATAGTAAATTCACTTAACCCAATTAAAATGGTGTGAAATTACAAGCCGTCCTGTAAGCTTACAGATACAGAAAAAATGCTATAAGGCTGTTGATATGAAGCTTGCAGTGGACAAGGTAGTTGAAATGCTCAATGGCCTGTTCATGGATACGGTAATATTGCATCAATAATATGGTAATTAATGTAGTATGGTAATATCATCAATAAAGGAAAAACAAGTAAAAATCACAGAAAATGTCATTTATTCTACCTCTACATCATCTACAATGAAAGAGGATGACTTCAGAGTACCGTCAACCGGGGCTACTTGGGACAGATTTGATCGTTTTTTTTGTTAATAACTGTTAATAACTTATTATGAGGAAACATTTCATAAACAAATTTAAGCTCATTTTATAGCTCTTTGCCAGGGCTATGGAATGACACTGTCAAAAAATTCCATATGCTATTCCTAAGGTGCCAGACACAAAATAAAGATTGTCCGGAGTAGCCCCGTCGGTCGGGGCTACTCGGGACAATGGGAATAGAACTTCATTTTAAAACATTTGAAGCATGCAGAGCATACTCATCCATTACTAACAGTACTCTGAAGTCCTCCTCTTTCATTGTAGACGATGTAGAGGTAGAATAAATGACATTTTCTGTGATTTATACTTGTTATTCCTTTATTGATATGATATTACCATAAACATTAATTATGGTCAACTGGGGTGACTTTGGCCTCGTTTTTGATTCATGCTGGGGTTGTAAACGCGGGGTCGTAAACGTCGGGATCATAAACGCCGGGATCATAAACGCCAGGGTTGTAAACCAGGTCATAAACGCCAGAGTGACTTTGGCCATTGTTTATGACCATTTATGACCCCACTTTGGCCATCATTATGAACAGGGCTGAATCCCCCAGTTGACGGTACCCTATTATTGATGGGATATTACTGTATTATTGATGGGATATTACCATATCCATGAACATGCCATTGAGCATTTACAACAACCTTGTTCACTGCAAGCTTCATATCTGCAGCCTTATAGCATTTTTTTCTGTATCTGTAAGCATACAGGAGGGCTTGTAATTTGTGTGAGGATAAGTGAACTTTTTTTCACTCAGCGAGGTAAATGTAGTCAATATTCTTTGTTTTTAATCAATTTGTTCTTAACTGAAGCCTTTGCTAACTGAGGTTCTACCGTAAATGCGTTTTTGGGGGTGTCCCTTTTATACTACATAGATAGGAAAAATGTTGACGTTTACGCCACTATTTTTAGTTTTGCAATATTCCAATTAGTTTTGCTACTATAACAGTTTTACGCCGTGTCGGAGGACTGTCCCGAATTACCCCGCCAGTCCCGAGTTACCCCGGTTGACGGTACTGTTAGTAATGGATGAGTACACTCTGCATGCTTCAAATGTTTTAAAATGAATTTTTATTCCAAGTGTCCCGAGTAGCCCCGTTGATGGGGCTACTCGGGACACTTTTTTTGCTTGTGGCACCTTAACAAATAGCATATGGATTTCTTTGGAGAAGCCATGTGATAGCCCTTGCAAAGAGCTTTGAAATGAGCCTAAACTTGTTTATGAAATGTTTCATGGTAAGAAGTTATGAATGAAAAACTTTCAAAATCATCCCTAGTAACCTCTGTTGATGGTATAATAAAAAAGATTGTAAAAAACATACCTGAAACAGAAAATAATGTTTAGTGACAACCATCATATGTTTTGAAGAAATAAATTATAGTTTAGGTCAATTACTTTTCATTCTATGATGCCCCGGTGCACAATTCTATATGTAGCATTCTATGTACAATTTTGTGACGAACGATGATGCACTAATTTTTTGATAAGTGAATTTTTTTGCCAAGCGAGGTAAATGTAATCTAAATTCTTTGTTGTTAATCAATTTTTTTTTTGTTAATTGGAGCCTTTGCTAACTGAGGTTCTACTGTAAATGCATTATTAAGGGTGTCCCTAATTACCCTGGGGGGTGTCCCTTTTTACCTCGGGGGGTGTCCCTTTTTACCCCAGGGGGTGTCCCTTTTTACCCCGGGGGGTGTCCCTTTTTACCCCATCATGCGGAAATGGCTGCCATTTTTCTTTTGGAATGAGATAGGCAAATTCTGTCAATTACGTTTTCAAGCCGACACCTGGGTGCAACTTTTATGTAAGTGAAATTTTTTAATACGGTGAATATTTTTTTTTGCTCCAGACTTTAGCATAGGTACTTTTCCAAAATTGCACTTTTCACCACTTTTTTCAATGGTTTTCTAGAGATAGTAAATGTTTGATTTCTTGACTAGCTTCATACATAATAGATAGTAAAAATGTTGAAGTTTATGCCACTCTTTTTAGTTTTGCAATATTTTGATTAGTTTAGCTGCTACAACATTTCTACAAAATGTGGGACGCGTGTCCCTATTTACCCCACCCATCCCTTTTTACCCTGTTTGATGGTACCATATCCATGGACATGCCATCAAGCATTAACAACCTTGACCATTGCAAGCTTCATATCAGCAGTCTTATAGCATATCTTCTGTATCTGTAAGCTTATAGGACTGGGCTTGGAATTTTGCACCATTGTCTTTCTATGACATTCTAGACTCGATTTTGTGATGACCAATGATGCATTAATTTTCTGCCAAGTGAATTATTTTATCTGCGGTAGGTAAATGCAATCAAAATTCTTTGTTGTTGATCAATTTTTATGTTAACTGGAGCAGATGATAACCATGGTTCTACTGTAAATGTGTTTTTAGGGGTGTCACATATTACCCTGGCAGGGTGGGGGGGTTGTCCTCTATCACCCCATTATGCCCACCATTTTGTTTTGAATTGAGGTAGGTACAAAAATTCCATCAATGAAGTTTTAATGCTGACACCCGTTAGCTATTTTTTTTTCAGCAAAATTTTTTTATATGGTGAATATTTTTACTACCATCAACTGGGGTGACTTTGGCCACCACTACAACAGAAACAAATGCAACAAAACAAAATAATAAACGTTGGCCAAAATGACAGGTGATTTTGGCCACAGGGGTGACTTTGGCCAATGTTTACTATTTTGTTTTGCTGCCATTTGTTTCTGTTGCAGTGGTGGCCTATGTCACCCCAGTTGATGGTACAGACCTTGGAAGTACTTTTTCAAAATATCGCTTTTCAACATTTTTCTTCAGTGATTTTTAGAGCTAGTAAATGTATGGTGTCTTAACTTCCTTTATGCAACATAGATAGGAAAAATGTTAAAGTTTATGCCACTATTTTTAGTTTTGCAATATTTTAATTAGTTAAGCTTGTAATTTTAATCATCGACTGCCCCAGCCTTGATATGAAGCACAAATGGTAAAAAACTCATTTGGTTAATAATATGATGCTCTGTTGGGGTCCAAACTAATTGAACTTGAAACGTGCTCAGACAAAATTTACCTGGTCAAAAATCCTGTTATGTGTTGATGTGATTTTTCAGGCTGTGTCTGGCATTGAAGATGTTGGAGAGGCCTTCATGCGTCTTGAGAAGGCTAATTGGAACCTTTCAGATGCATATACGTCGATGCAAGCTGTTCCATTTCTTCACAATGCTGGCTTCCCTTCAAGTCATGTCAGTTTTATAGTGCTCTTATTTTTGACCAGTTTTGTTTTCACTTTGTATGAATTTCTAATTTGGTTGAAAAATTATGTAGAATGTTGGCAGGTTTGAGGCACATACCTTACTAAGTGTGCTAATGACATTGGTTTTGATGATGCATATATTTTAGTCAATAGCTTTGCTAGAAATCTGAGGCCAAGCATGAGGTATTGTGTGATCTATGATGCAAATGAGAGGTGCAATTTGTAAAACTACACATCTGGTATTGAGGCTAGGGGAAAATTTCTCAGGAAAATAACATGGCTCATTGTCTTATATACTGCTTGTGGTTAACAGGAGGTTGTAGACTTAGACAGCCCAGGGGATCTTCCAAGTCCATTACTTCCATCGGTAATCCCCATTTCTACAAACCATACTGAAGCTGTTGCACCTGCTGGTGCCAGTACCAGCACTGATCCAGAAGAAGTTCTGCATATTAACATAAATGTGAGTTGCTTTATTTGAATGAATGCAGAATTTGTTAGGTGACATGTTCCCTAATTCTAGTGATTATTTTTTAAAATTACTACAATGCCTGAATGTTTTATGGTATGATAAATCTAGGGTGATAAACCTAGCTAACTCGGTTTATATATATACTAGCCAAACTGTTTGAAGAAAATGTGTGCATAAATTTGGATTAATCAGTGGAAAAGAAAATTTTTGCAATTTCTGCAAAAGTAGAAAAATGGAACATGTTTGCCTAGAACTCGTTACTTGTGTTTGAAGCTCAACATTTTTCTAGGTCCTCATGGGTGGCTTGAGTGGTAGTGGTCTCTTCCCACTTGAAGTGCCCAAAACAACGACAGTTGGTGAACTGAAATCAACTCTATATCAGCTACTTGGCATTCTACCGTGCAAGCAGGTGAGAAACAAACTTTTTAGCTCCAATTTGGGCAAGATATTCTAATAATGTTTCTGTAAAATTTCAATCAATGGAATTCTACCAGTAAGACGAATTTAAATTCAAATTAATTTTTTTTACTAAGCCAAGTGTCATTGCAATTTTCATCTCTAGAATTCTATTCAATCTGGATTCTTGAAGACACACAAAAGCCATTTTCTTGTAAATCTGGTGTGTAATGATAATATTGTGGCAGGTTCTACTTGGGTTCACAGAAGATGTCACTGATGTCACTCTGGTGACCTCCAAAATACTGGGGCCTGACCACACACTCAGCCTGGACACTACTACTCCTGACACAGCTGTTATCCAGACAAGGTAGGAGGCGGAAGTATCAGGAGACTTCTCCTGACACAGCTGTTATCCAGACAAGGTAGGGGGCGTGTGTATCAGGAGACTTCTCCTGACACAGCTGTTATTCAGACAAGGTAGGGGGCGTAAGTATCAGGAGACTTCTCCTGACACAGCTGTTATTCAAGACAAGGTAGGGGCGTAAGTATCAGGAGACTTCTCCTGACACAGCTGTTATTCGGACAAGGTAGGGGGCGTAAGTATCAGGAGACTTCTCCTGACACAGCTGTTATTCAGACAAGGTAGGGGGCGTGTGTATCAGGAGACTTCTCCTGACACAGCTGTTATTCGGACAAGGTAGGGGGATGGCGATGAGCAAGTTCTCCAATATCTCTATCACCTAAGATAAATTCTGAGAATGTATATATGTCATTTATTTTTTGCATCTCAAATGTATGTATGCCATTTATATCCTTGGAATCCTTTTTAAATAATTTTCCCGAAAGCTTTCTGATTGCAGTTTATGTAATTTACTGGATTGAGTTTTTATATAGGTAGTATTGTATTTGTGACATTTTCTATCTGTATATGTTTATTATTGAATTTAACCGATTTCTTTACTTTCTGTGTACTGTGATTAAAAACTGTATATCTAATTATTGGAATTTTTTTATCACACAGATCAACAGCTTCCAGTGTACCAGAAGTGATGGAAATTGGGGAGAGTTCAAAAGCTCCTGCATCAGTACACTCATTTTCCAACGACTTGCATGATTTACCAGGATCCTCTGTTGGGCGTTCTGCCTTTACTAGATTTGAGAAAAATACTTTTAGGCCTTTTAGTAACCATAGCCGACCTAGTAGTAGTTCTTATACTAGCTTTACTAGTGCTATTGAGCCGCCTTCTGGGAAGGCCTGTTCTTCTTCATCATCTTTTAGCACCAAAGAATTAAATTCTTCTTTTAATCACAGCAGAATTAAAAAATCTACAACACATGGGGATTCAGAAAGTAAATTCAGCAATAAATCTAGCAATAGGAAATGTGTCAAGTCAGACTCTGACTCAGATGATACATCTGATCGGCAATCCAAAAATTTCTCTTCATCTTCTGGTAGGTCTTCTAGGGAGAAAAAGCTTTTCATTTTGCACATCAAAGACACTACCAACAACAAGGAGTATCAGCTCTCCTTTCAAGGACACAAAACAGTGGGACAAGTGAAACAAGACGTGTTCGACATCACTGACATCCACGTCCATCGTCAGAAATGGATTGGATGGCCTAGTGGCATCTCAGATGGGGTAGATATATTTTGAATAGACTGTCTTGTGAGATTATTTGTTTAGTTATTAAAATAACATGATCTTTGTACGGTTGTGTTTAACTTGTCTTGACTTTCATCAGTTTATCCCGACCCTACACAATCTCGTTCTTAATGGAGTTTTGCTCATCAGAAAGATAGTTTTTTTAAGGTCGACTCATAGAATGTGAACATAATCTTACTTATATTTGAATTGAAATACGGTTGCAAGGCATTCCTGATGTGCTAAAAATGTTTTTTTTTTACTTGCACAGTCCACCTTGTCACGGAGCGGAGTTGGCCAAACAGCTGAGCTATCAGTGAGCCGAGGGTCTCCAGCGGCTGTTCGGGCTGCGGGGACTGCAGACAAAAAAGTGGTTATTCCTTTACTTGTAGAACTCCTGTCGCAACTATTGCTTTAAACCTTGCTCATTTGTAAAGTACTGTGCTTTCAGTGATTTTGAAATTTCTTGCATGTTTGATGGTTGGTACTATTCTATCCAGCACTCAAATCCATGTTAGATTGCTGCTTCAATTCAGGCCAAAAACGAAATATATAATACTGTTCACTGTGCCAGGTAGGATGCGTGAATGAGTTCGTTTAAAAGCTGTAAAATTTGTTCATTAATATTAGGTACAAAAACTTGATGCAATTTAATTCCAACCACTCCATTTTCTATTTTTGTCTATTGTATACTTTGTTAAGTGAAGTTTTTAGTCTTCAATTGATTAATGTTCAAATTTCTCTCTCAGACGAGTGCTGAAGCCGTAGATTCTGATAGCGGCTCCGATGATTTCGAGGACGCGGCTGGGCTTTTGCCCGACGAAGATGATGACTCGTTTTTGGAGATGATGGACTCGAGCGCCATGGAGACAAAGTCAAAATCTTTATGTAAGATCCAAGTTCATGGTTAACTTGGGTGTAAATGTAATATTTTTAATACAATGAATACCTAAAATTATCGTGTGTCGACCTTAAACTGTGACTTGAACAAACATGTTGCTAGTACTGCAAATTTTCCCATGGTTTTCATATTTTAGTATTACTTGATGTGTTGAACTAAACACGTTTGGTTGATTTGTTAATGCATACAAGTTTTGAATCGTGCACTTTTTTTGTTTAACCGAGGTCACATAACGCAGTCAATGAAATCAACACATTAGCCAAAAAAGCTGATGATCAAGCTTCATTGAAAAATGTACACTTTGCTGGTAAGTTTCTGGAATTTGTTTTCTCCACCTTCAAAGTTGATTTTAATTAAATATTTTTGCAGTGCCTGCTGGATTTAGTGGCGGAGAAGTGCAGTGCGTTGAACATTTCGCCAAGGAGTTTGGCAACCGCTATGGCTGTTCTCTGGCACCGCTCTTCTTCCAAGGACCTCTTAAAGAAGCCATGGACCAAAGTGTCATGCTACCTGCAGCTCAGGTAACTTATTTTACTCAACCACTTCATTTGAAATGGCCTTTTTTTATTATACGATACTGAAAATCTGTTAGTTTGCTTCAAAAATTTCGAAACATACAGCAAAATATATTCCCAAATTTTGGCATCTTGTGTATTCGAGTATTTGAAGTTGTAATTGGAGGTTATCGTCGTAGAAATATTAAATAAAGCTGTTAATACCTGTGCATACATGACAACTTGACATGTTATTTATGCACGTTGAAAAGTTTCCACTAGAAACATTATGGACACTAGAAACATTATGGAAGACCTCTATGTTTTTCCTACTTCTACTACGTCGAGATTAATGGCCTCATGATATTTTGGCCTTAAATTACATCAAGGAAGCTTTCGATATTATTGAACCTTGAAAATTATTCAGTTACATATAATTGGCTTGTAAACTTTTGAATTACGACTTAGGTTTAACTAATTTTTCCGCTTTCAGCGGCGCATGTTGGCCATCTACATTCATCACGACGGCTCAGTGCTGGCCAATGTCTTCTGCTCCGAGATCCTCTGCCAGAGCGCCACCGTGTCTTTCTTGGCAGACAATTTCGTGCTCTGGGGCTGGGATATATCGCATCCCCAGCACCGCGATAGGTGAGCTCGAAATAAATTATTTACCACTCTCTCATGCTTACAATACGGTAAACCATCTTGTGCCATACTTTGAGAAAAAATAAATGTTTGTTAGTCCAGCAGCCGATTCCTGATGACTTGTCAAGCAAAACACACCAATCACGGACGAGAATTCAGTACGCGTGCGTAAGTACTTACACGTACTTATGCGAGTTTTGAAAGTACGGCTCCTTGACTTGAACTCCATGTATTTTAGACTCTACACCGCAATGTCATACTGGGCCTATGTTATACTTCACCTGACTTTCCTGAAGGGTGCCTCAGGGCTTACAATTCACATTACCAAGGTTTGAAGCAGTGATCTGTGGGTTCAACTAAAAAAAAATAAAATAAATAAAAAGAGCAGTGAGTTACATGTTCGAGACTCAACAAGCTTTCAAAATTTTTGCAGTGTTCAGAATTGGTGTCTGGCATAATGCCTAATCAATGATATTTTCATTTTTCACAGCATTTATAAATGCCCTATTTCTGCAGGCTGGTCAGTATAATATCTTCTGGGATCGGGAGCGCCGCAGGTATCACAGTGCGAGGTTTTGGCATCGAGCAGCTGCCTGCCCTGATGCTCCTCACGAGGTCCAGGGGAAGCTGTGAAGTGCTCAGCGTCATTTATGGTCAGTTGACGTCATTTGCGCCATGAATAATTCTCCTGTCACGTAACTGACACATTTTTATCAGTTTTTAGCGCATTTTCTCATTCATGGAAAAAATGCCCTATTGCTCTCGTCATGTCTGTCTGTCCGTCCGTGACTTCACGTTTTTGTCGACGAGAAAATGCGCTCTTTGTCACTCACTGCAGTGAGTACGGAGTTATATTTTTTCTCAATTTGTTGCACTCACTACGAAAAATTAACCTCGAGTTAACCTCAACATGTTATCTGATAATAATTAAATATTAATTTTTTCGTACAAGAATAAATGAGAGTGCATTGCTTGTGACAGCTTGTAACTCATCGCTGGACGAGCTGGTGACGTCCCTGATGGAGGCAGTGGATGTCTTCGAAGGCACTCGTCAGGCCGAGGTCACCGAGGACGTGCAGAGACTCTCACGGCAGGCGATAATGGACGATCAAGACGCCGCTTATCAGGAAAGCCTTAGGGCTGACAGAGCCAAGGTGAGCAACTGCATTTTTTATTAGTAATCATTCTTTTGTCTAAGGATACATCGACTGTCCCTGCTTTCCGTTGCTAAGGGCCTGGGCCTATACTTTCAAAAAAAGTTAAGAGATCGTAAGTTCGTCATCCAATCATTGGCGGCCTTTCAAGCAAAATCCACCAATCATAGACAAGAAATTAAAGCGTAAGTACGTACTTACGTTCACTTAGCGAGTTTCGAAAGTATGGCCCCTGGTAACTAGAGTTTACGTTGGTTGGTGATTAAATTGAGCGTTGTTGCGCTCAATTTAATCTAAGTTGTAACGCAAATAAAAATTTTTTCATCATTTCGTATGATGTAACTTTGTAGTATGTTGGCGTTTATTATTGGATTTATTTGTGCATTTCTTTGAATTTCCTAAATCAAGATGGTCATTGTTTACAATCTTTCGCATTGGTGCCTGATGCCGCTTAGTATACAATTAGGGTGCAGAATTTAGCCATCACTTAAGTACAACATAATATAAAATAATATTTCTGTGAATTTAAATGTAAAACATGTTTAGGCTGAGGCTAAACGACAACAAGAGGAGGACGAGCAGCGTGAACAGCAACGTCAGGAGTGCATCAGGCAGCATGAGCAGCAGATAACGGAGGTAATGTCTCTTTCTTCTAGTATCGAAATCCTTTAACTAGCAGCGTTGTCATATAATTTGTATGAAAGGTAGTTCCTTTACATTTAGTTCTTTGCGCATTGACCGTATGCTAGTGCCAAGCTTTTTCAAGCTCATCACTGCCAGCTTTTCAAGCATATTTAGGAGTGAAACGTGTTTCTCTGCAGTGTCTAGATCATGAGAGCTTTTTGACGGCTAGCCTAATTATTTGATTTTCCTATTGATGCTAACAATACGGTCCATAAAAATAAAAAAAAAATAATAAAACAGGCGATGGGTTTGTCAAGTAATTGCCTGCAACTCGTGCAGGGGGTTTTCTGTATTTTTCATAACCACTTCTTTCTGTTGTACTCAGAAATTACGAGCGAGTTTGGAGAGCACTCTTCCCCCAGAGCCGTCGGACCACAACTCCGCTGACGTGACTGTGATGAGGTTCAGACATCCTGGCACAGATCAGTTCATTAGAGCCTTCACCCTGGACACTGCACTGCAGGTCAGACTGGGCATTTATCTGTTGATTTAGTAGGGATATTTGGGCTTATGAAGTTCTGACATCCTATCACCGATCAGTTCATTAGAGCCTTCACCCTGGACACTGCAGTGCAGGTCAGACGGGACGTATTTCAGTTGATACAGTATGGATGTTCGGGAGAACATGAGTGATACCAGTGCAGTTTTTTTGCTGCAGTTTGAATGGTTTACACGAAAGCTCATATTTTATGTTCATTGAAAGTTGCTTGGAAATTCACTTTCGCAAACTAGGTACACTAAATCACTACACTTCACTGGAACTAACTTTAAAATATATTTTTATTGACTTGCATGCATATGTCTCATAAAACATACGCGCGGTTACCGATTGTTTTTGAATTCGTTCCCATTTTTCAGCGAATATAGTTTTTATCTCAGTAGGTTAGGTTGACTTCGACTAGTTGGCAGAAAACTTATGTGCAAGGGAGATCCCATCACACAGTTTATTCCATCTACCTTGCGCTGGTGATGTTTCAATTATAATTGACATCATTGTCATTGTAGACAAATGATGTGCATGGAAGAAGATTGTACCGTATTGTTTGTTATAGGTATTTGTTTGTGCTTATGATGTTTCCTTTTACATTTGACTTCACTATCATTAAAGTAAATTATTTTCTCGTAACAGATGGTTTGTATTACAATATAAACCTATTAACTTGCTGCCCCAACAATATCGTTAAACATGAGACCTAGGTGATATAAATTGTTTTTGTATACTCCACACATGGATGTTTTCAGGTGGTGCTCAACTACCTACACGTTCAAGGCTTCCCTGCGGACCAATACAAGTTCCTACAGTCATGGCCTCGTCGGGACTTGGCGAGCCTCAACGTCTCGAAGTCCCTCAGGGAGTTCTCGATTCCCCACCAAGAAACCATCACCATTGAGGAACGTTAACTTGTTTCGTTGCGAACAAGACATTGATTTAGTTAAATTCGTATTTAATTAAAACTGCTTCACGGTGTATCTTGTTGGTCACTACTCATAATTCATTTAAAAATGGTACCCAGGATCATACAACAACGGAAACACTCGCTCGCTTGAGAAGTTCAGAAAATATTGGCTGCGTTGCTATGAAACAGAGAGATTATTTAGAGAGAGCCAATAGTGCTTTTTAGTCCATTTGGTGGAGCGATTGTGTGATGTGAGTTCGCCAGCAGTCTGAAGTTGTAGACTTTCTGCTACTTATGTTGAAGCATTATAAAATGCTCAGGAAATTATTTTAGCATTGTGGCAATTGTGTACAATGCCTATAAGTCACACACAATGTAAGTAATAATGAATATTTTATCAGCAAAAAACCACCAGACGTTTAAGAAAGTTCCTCTTGCTCCGGGAATACGAAGTCCAATTGTCTACAACACGAGTTTTAGTTGAAGTATTCGTATATTTTACGTCATATTTTGAAGCACGAGTCCATCACTTACATTTCAATTTGGTCTCTTATGTCAGAGCCATGCACTGGATTTAAAGCACCACTCAACGCAATATACTCAAGTAATTTGTCTTATTTATCATCAGATTGAAACAACACCGCGTGTGTCTTGGAACCTGGCTGGCATCTTTTATCCGATGTTGTTGTCAATGGAAGAAAACTAAGTCCCAAAAGTTAAATTATGATCATTGTTGAGTAGTTCAGTGGCTTCCTAACACGTTTTCAAATTTAAATAAAAGGTAGTGCTGATTAGCTATCAACATTTGTGTCTGTGAGGTAAAGGGACGATACTAACTGTGAAGAGTTTCTTCAGAAATCAATTTAAGGTTTCATACAAGCCAGTTCAGGGTTTGTTGTAGAAGCTAGGGCTCTTACATACTTACGCTGTCTCTGCCCTTATAATCTAGTGTCCCGTACGTGCAAAAATTTACCTCTTATGTGCAATGTCGGTTCTCTCATACTCGTAATTAATCGTAACAAAGGCGCATAAATTGACATTGGTGAAAGGAATGACTTGATATATTGTACCATTCACCGAAAGTCATGTGTTAAGTTTTTTTTTTTTTTTGATAGATTGTATCACCGACTTGAGTAAGTGTTTGGCGAAAAATTCAGGAACAAGGAAGAACAAACATCGCAAGCCCTTGAAGAATCATTCACTTCGATGTTCATCTGATAATTTACACTCTTTGAGCTAGCTTGATTTTGATGTGCAACTAAATGCTTGTAGCTAACCTTGGACGCAAATGTGGACTCCGGGTAAGATCCATTTATTTTGTTTGGCGGACTTTGGAACCATTGAATTTTGTGACTTTCAGCAAATAGTTTTCGTGTAAATGTTCAGGCCTTCAATGCGGTCTCTTCTGAATTCTCTTGACGTATTGTTTGAGGTCGTTTTTTATGTTCTCCTCGTTAACCGTCTGGTTCACGAAACAGGTTCCTGTAGTCGAGGTCCAACTGCTTTGGATAACGAAGAAATGTTAGTTGCGGTACGAATTTGAACTCACAATTGAACTTACGATTCCTAACTCACAATCTGTGCGGTACGTGCTTGTGGAATTTGAGTTGATTTAAAATTATTATTTATCCCTGGTTAACTTGATTCATTGAAGTGCTATTAAGTAGCCACGACAAAGAAATAATTATTTTCGTCTAAATTCACAATGTCTTGGGCGTGATCAGGAACAACAGTTGAAATTCTGATGGCTTTAGCAACGAATGAATTTCAGTTGTCCGCAAAGTTGAGTCTGCTAGACTTAAGGTTGCAACCGGAACTTGATGCTGTTGAGACTTGATTATTCAGATGAAGGGACTTGTCTTTGTCGTTTTCATCGGTGGCGATACCTAATCGTTCTTGTCCTAGAGTTTTCTTTTTTGGTGACGGGGTCTCAACACTGGCGTCCCAGAGGAATTTGTTTTTCGTTGGTTTGTGATCTGGCATTAACCCACTCGTTCTTTTTTTTTTTTTTTTTGAGTTGGGATTTCATGACTGTCATTCAAATAGCCTTGTGTTTACCAAAGACGTTATCAGCTCACATGCTTACGGAATGGACTTAATCTTCACATAATCAGTCAGCATTATTGTTCTTAATCCATTAAGCTTGTGCACGTGTGTGTTGCAAATATTAGCTGATACTGTCAATCTGCGCGCCTGGGTTTTTTAAATTTTGGTTATATTGCGATTGTGAGGATATAACTGTCAGGCAAGCTAAACCGATTGAAATATATTCCCGGTTAATGTTTTTCTTAGGTGAAAAGACAGCGATGTAGAATACCAAATCTAACGTCGTGCAGGATTACTCATTGTTCTTAGAATAAGAGAATGAGGTGGCATATGATCTCTTTACTACTGACTTCGACGGATGATTTAATCACATCTCTCTACAATGATAACAGTGACATGCGCTCGTTATTATTTTATAATGAATCATCTGTTGTTCATTTACTTTCTTGCCGAAGGCAATATAACAATTTTTGACGGAGTATACAATAACCGTATTAATGCTAACTTTGTAGGCTCTGCAGTCAAAAAGAAACGCAGCATTTTGTTGTCTTAAGTCGTAAAATTTAAATTTGGATTTCGGGGGACGGTGGAGGAGGTTTCATCGCTGGCGACCAAGAGTCTGCATCCTGGCCCATCTTCCGTCTACTGGCGCTGGCGCGTGATTCCATGTGGCGTTGATCAATTCTCATAGACTCGTGATTTATTGCTAAACTCTCCGACCTCTTATGTGAATGAATTCTGGTTAGACTGATTGGGCCAATTTGAACCATTTATACAAGAGGCTAATGTTGCATTTTTTGTACTGATGCTATTTTATCATTTGCACCCAATCCATTCCCTATCCTACGGAGTTTTTCAGAAAATTTTGGTTGCATTGAATAGAGATAATTTTTTCGGATTGACAGAACATTGAATTTTATTGAAGGTAACATTGTGGCGACAACACATGTACAGGATTCAAACTAATTTCTAATTTAACTTCATTTCGTTAAAAAAAATCTGTGTGTGCGAGTGTTTTTTATGCTTTAAAGCCACTAACCTGATACTGGCCACGTGATTCGTGACGTAAACAACTGTTCCTCGGTTGGAAGATTTCCAAAAACGAATGAGTATCCATCAACATACCGCGTCGCGTAACGTTGAAGTAAAGTGATGACATATTCACACTCGATTCGATTAATGTAGAGTTATAGATTTCAAGTAGACATCGTTGTTCAACACTGAACTGTCGTCGAGAGGAATTACATTACAACTCGTCCTTTTGAAATCTACAAATATCTTAAACTTGCCGATATGGTGGATGTTATTAATTGAGTTCAAGTCTGAAGTGAAAAGCTTTGATCTGATCTCGGGAAATTCGCCGTTGTGCAATTCTTGAAGTAAAGAATTGACGAGCCTGCTGTTAGTTTATATAATTTGAGTACATATTCGTGGCTTTCAGACGACACTTTTTTTTAATTCAGCTTTTGTGCGTAGCCGAGTATACTTACCATGTCCACGTAGTCCTTGATTGTCCATATAATATTTTCGGTCAAAATTACCATAACATTCATAACAATTAGTTCACAAATTGCTAACAGAGCTAATGGGGGATTATATTATATTTATTACGGTTGTAGAGTTCAGAAAGTGTACCCAGGATCCATTGTTACATTGCAAGTAGGCATGCCATTAGTTGATCGATGCCTATACACGGTGTAATTCGAGCAGGTTTTTTAATGCACATATGACGTGCTTCTTCTTCGTACTAGCAACATTTTTTACCCCCTCTGCCGTTTTGTTGCGTGAGATGCAAATTCTCAGTTGTATATTCTATGGAGATGCCGTAGTAGTATAGTACCTAGTTGCTCATGTCTCTGGAAAACGGGATTAAATAATATAACCAAGAGGTATTTCTTATTATCCATTGCGTTGGGTGAACTTGTAGTTGATATCATACACGTTTTATTTGTTGCGCTGAAGAATGCGTCAAGTTGAGCCTGTTGCCGGTCCTTGTAAATTTAGTTACTTGTTCAGAAGAGAACTAAACCTGGACTATTGACCAGATCCTTTCAAAACTGACGTTGAAAAAATAAATAGTGACTGGACTTTAGCCCTGTCCGTGAGGTGATGAGAACATAAGACCCCTATATATATATTCTTGCATAGCTTTGTCTAGTGTGTTCTTGAATGCGTTCTTACTCATGAGCGTCAACCATGCCAGCTAGGTAGAGATCGAGTCTCTTCCTCGTGTTGGTGACTCAAAGCGAAAAAAATGTCGCATAGATGAGTTGCAACGAAGCTTTATTAGTTTGTAACCGTGTCCCCTGGCGTTGATTTTGGTTTCCCACTTCATTTATCTTTCTGCAATCTTGAATAAGCCATGAATATACTTGCATACTTCAATTTGGTCGCTCCTCAGATGTCGATAACAATGACTTGGAAGCAGCTTTTCTAAATTGCTCTTTGAAATTTCGAAATTTGTAGGTTATGGAAGCTGTTATAAGAAGTAAACCAATCGGTGCTCATTGAATATAAAATATATTGAAAGCAAGGCCTAGCCATATATTTTTTTCTGCCAGTCTTCAAGTAGAACTTATTTGTTTTGCCTGCTTGGAGTTTGTTAGATTTTGGAAGATTATTTAGGGAAGACTGACTGAATTTTACTTTGATACGTGCAGCTGTAGAGAAGCATTCCCTGTACAGTGTGCAGGGAAGTGGGAATGGGAACGGTGTACAATAATGCTCTTTTAGCCGATTGCGAATGTAATTACTTCACGATGATAGTTTGAACTCGAGAGAATTAAAAAGTACAATTGGAGTTCTTCAAGTCTTGTACTAATGATGACTGAGAAATCTCGGGATTAAATTTTTTTAAATTGAAATTTAGCAAAAAATATCGGATGCAATGCTAATATCTGCTGTATATTAGCATAAATAACACATAAATAAATTAACCAATTCGGAAGTATATTTGCTGTATTTTTTAGAGAATGTTCCATTAATAATTGTAGCATTATTTACAACCTCCTCACATTAATAGACAACATTTTACCCTTCAGTCGCTTAAAATAAATAATGCTGCCACACAGGTAAATATATGGACTGCCGAGTAATTCGCAATGAGAATTTTTTAGAAGTTATGAAATCATTCAAAATCAAACCTCTTGACTGTCTAGAATCGCACCTGTTGATCGCTAGAGGTCGAGTAGAATAGGTGTTTGAAGGAGGTTTGTGAAGGAGGTATTTGGAGGAGGTCTGTGAAGGAGGTTTTTGAAGGAGGTCTGTGAAGGAGCTGATGTAGCTATGGCGTAACTTCGATGATAAGGTTCTAGTTTCAACCAGACAAGCACTGACACAATGCCCTTGTTGGTCGGAAGTGTGCTAGCAACCGTACAAAGATCGTGGCGAAACATGTGTGGGGAATAAAGCAGTCGTTGAAAGGTAAGCGGGATGAATGTTAGTGAGACACTCAAGATTTGCTTTTTCAAAGACATTTTAATAATATTTTTTAATAATAAATATTTTTAATCTTCCTGTTACTAATAATCGAACTTCGTTCAGCCGCGATATGTTAAACAATTACAAGTATAGCTTAACAAAAAAATCTTATCTCATATCTTCTGCTGTGTTTTTACACCTGAGGATAAATTGAGATGAAATTATAATGTATCGCACTTTTAAAATATAAAACACTCTGTTTAATTACAATCTTAATCTTGACTTTTCAAAGAATATTTACTTCGTTCAGTGTTATTACACATACCATGCGTGTTAGAACGTTATGCAATCAAATCAATCAAGGATTCAATTATCCTTAAGAAAAATCAAGTTTGTAATTTAGTCACAATCCAGTTTTGCCATGTAAGCTCGAATGCGTCTTTCAAAAATAAAAAGAGAAGAAATTTGCACTGAAAACGCGGCCGTTCAAATGTCAGCCTGTCCGTACGCTGCATGCTGTCCGTACGCTGCATGCTGTTCGTACGCTGCAAACTGTCCGTACGCTGCATGCTGTCCGTACGCTGCAAACTGTCCGTACGTTGCATGCTGTCCGTACGCTGCATGCTGCATGCACTGCATGCTGCCCGTGACCTCTGCGGACTGTTTGATAGCATTTGTCAATCAATCGTTTATACTCATTATCATCCTTTCGTTCGTACATATTATCATTCCAAAGTTAATACATACTGTATTATTATCCTACAGTTGTTACATGCAATCACCCTTTACTTGATATATATGTATTATCATCCTAAAGTAGAGACCTATTGTCATCTAACATAGCGAGCCGATGCTTTTATACGCCTTTTCGAGGAGGCTATGTGAAGTAGATCGATAAGCTGGTGCACAAAGCCACTCGTCATGCGAGTTCAATTGTGCTACTTCGCAATAAAGTTACTACTTCGTTTCGTTTACGAAAACGGTTGAGCCGATGCGCATCAGTATACAGTGTACAGAAAACAGCTTACAGGAAACAGTGTACAATATGTATTGCTTTATACTGAAGTCTGAATGAACGACTCTTTTAGGTCAATATAACGATCAATATTATCTGTCCCATCCCAGTTTACGTACATAGATTATTAATGATGATTTAGCGTAAAATCATGAATAGTGTCGGTCAGTTTTTTTGGCAATATGATCAATAAAGGGGCAAGACAAGGGATAACTAGACTAGCCTACTTTCAGGTCTCCCTCTTGAAGATGCAAGCTCTTTGGACCACTCCTACCAACCGCAGTAAATACGATTGAAAGGAGCCGGTAACAACTCAATACGATTAATGGGGGACAGGTAACCCTACCAACTAGCTAGTACTTTGTCAACTTTGTTTTAATTATTGATACCGTGCCTTTTTTAACTTAATAATTTAAACGTAAAAATTAGCTACTAAAAGGTGTAATCCACAAGTTTAGCGATGAAAACAGCTTGATTGTTATTTTCATGCAGCTTACTGATAAATTGTTTCAGTTGTTAAGGGGGCGTCTAGGTGGTGAAAAAAACTTTTTTATTTACGGACGGATCCTTTTGAAACTTAGTACACCTGTGTAAAACAGAATTCTAAGACTTTTTTGTTCGTGTGAATTTTTCGAAAAATGAAAGAAAACGTGAAATTCTTAGAAAATTCTTAGAAATCTATCTCCTCCTAGGATTTTGAAGCTACAACATCGAAACGCATATCAATCGATGCGTAAAGACCATATCTGTCGATTTGTCCTAGCTTTTTTTTAATTTCGAATTTTTATGGATGGGAGAGCATTTTTCGCCAAATTTTCGAAAATTTTTCGATTTTTCCCTTTTTCACCCCCCTTTTTTCATAATATTTTCAAAATTATAACGAAATTGAAAACAAGCTAGATCCAATCTCTAGATATTTTAGTTGCGAATCGAATGGTTTATGTTTCATCGCTGTAGCTTTAAAACTCTAGGAGGAGATAGGTTTGCCGTGACAATAAGTGTGAATGTTCAGGAGTGTGCGACAAAGTCCCGCGCGCATCGCAATATATAGGCACTCAATGTAGCAAGGATACAAAACTAAACGTTACTGGAGCTTGATTCCAGTCAAGGTTGGTGGGAACGACTGCATGCACACCACTCCGTACAACGCCAGGTGGGTAACTGAACGGCAGCTCAAGCAGACACTCTATTTATGTGCTCGGCAGCTAATTTCCCCTATCTTATTTGTTAAAGAACTCCCCCACACCCCTCCCTTTCGGGATCTGTCGTGAACGCATAAATCAACGTACATGCTTTTGGTACCGTTGGATAGCTCAGAATGTCAGCTTTAAGATAATGAGACTAAAAACCGGAGAGCCAAACAGCCAATACTGTCGATTTTGCACCCAGACGCTTCCCTTAAATTTGATTAATACCTTTTGTTGAGCTTTGAAAGTGGAACTCTCCCTCAATATTAACATTCAAACTCAAGCTTCTTTTCAAATTACTAGATGCAAACAGTTCAGGCCCAAAATACTAAATTTTTGAAATTTTATTAGAAATTTCAAATTTAATTATGGAAAATTTATTTTTAAAAATCATATATGAATTTTTTATTATTGCAATAAATGCTAACTTTAAAAGCAGTTCGTTAACATGAAGTGAAAAAATCTCCAATTGATCCCTGTTTATTTTCGAGTCCTTTACGAGATTTCTGTTCTCGTTGAGCTGGCCTTGGGACACCTGCGTTATTGTTTGACAGATGTACCGCCCCAGTCAAACTCCCCACCTGAATCTGTCCTCGGCAGGCGAGTTTATTGTGTATGACACACGAGCACACACACGCGCGCTACGCGCCGTGAAGCACGCGCATACGCGTTTAAACCGGGAGCGCAGCCGTGGGTAACAAAATTGACTCGTAAACAGGCCCTGGGCCCAACGCCGACCATCAGCATGCTATATCTAGTCATAGCCTCAGACCAATGAGCTGTGGGTAACTCCGGCTAACAGTAAATCCGCTTTGCACAACACAGCCACTGCTTCACAGCGCCGGAGCACAACTGGCCGGAGCGCAACCGGCCCTACCGCAACAGGCGGCGCAGGTTAGATTAGGTAAGGTTAGGTTACGTTACGAGTAGCTGTTGCGGTAGGGCCTGTTGCGCTTTATCCACCCCTTTAAACCTATGAACTCGATAACTTAACAAGAATTTGAACTTAAATTTGAATAAATTTAAGCTGATTGAATGAGCTAAAACATCGTTTTGAATTGCCCACTAATTTTGCCTTTCACGAACAACTGCGATGCACAGAATGAGATTCTGATACCGAAAAGCAGTCTTCTTTGCATCCAAGATGAAGCAGGTATACCCTGATTCGTCATGTCGCTGCCATGACCAAGCTAGTGTGTTGCCGGCTGCATGTTATGTATGTTAGATGTAATGTAAAAATAATCATGAAATATGCATGTAATGTGC